GCCCCCAGTCTTAGGACAACAATCATTTATAAAAAGCATTCTGTGGCCTGAATTGCTTGTCAGAATGTTAAACATGAAATAGTAACCTTAAGTTCTTTGTGATTCAGCCAAATTGAGCTCAGATTTATTTTCTTCCCTCTTTGTTATCCAAGTCTTAGATGTGGATAGAGATGAACTATGTAGGCTTTTAAAAATTGCCTTTGTAGTTTTCACATGAGTTTTCTACATGTGAATTATTTGGGCCTTGCATTTGCTAAGCATGCATTCTACCACTTGATCCACTCAACCAGTACCTGTTTTTCTTGGTGATTTTCAAGATAAGATCTTACTCTAGATCCTATATATAATGTATACTGTGATCTTCCTATTTGTGCTTTCTTGTGTTGATGACAGGTGTACACCACTGTGCCTGGCCATGTGGTTGAGAAAGAATCTCATCAACTTGCCTTGAACTGCAGTCTCGGGATCTGTACCGCCTTTCCTGCCTGGGCTTCCCTAAAATCAGACTTGAGCCACCACACTTGAGCTTTTGTGTATAGTTTAACCAGATCCTTTTTCAAGACATGCACATCATGTTATATCTTTTCACCCTAGCTCACAGCAGGAGCTCAAGAGGTCAGGCTGCCCAAACTCCATCATGGCCCTTAGATAAGTTACCTAACCTTCCTGGGCTTCAGTGTTCTCATTTGTAAATTGCTAATAAGAATTCCTAGCTGGGCGCCCGTGGCTCACGCTTGTAATCCTAGCTATTCAGGAGGCTGAGATCTGAGGATCATGGTTTAAAGCCAGCCCGGGCAGGAAAATCCGTAAGACTCTTATCTCCAATAAACCACTAGAAAACCAGAAGTGGTGCTGTGGCTCAAGTGGTAGAGCGGTCACCTTGAGGTGAAGAGCATAGGGACATCGCCCAGGCCCAGAGTTCAAACCCCACAACCGGGAAAAAAAAAAAAAAAAGAATTCCTGTTAGGGATGTTAGTAGGGTGTATGACTCTGTATACATACAAATAAATCACATAGAATGATGATGGTCTGTGTGTGGATGATACTGGTTAGCTACTGCAGAATTATAGAAGACACTTTTTTTTGATCGATTGTGGGGCTTGAACTCAGGGCCTGGGCCCTGTCCCTGAGCTCTCTCGCTCAAGGCTAGCACTCTAGCACTTTGTGCCATAGCTCCACTTCTAATTTTCTGGTAGTTAATTGGAGATAAGAGTCTCTTAGACTTTCTTGCCTAGACTAGCTTTGAACCGCGAACCTCAGATCTCAGCCTCCTGAGTAGCTAGGATTACAGGTGTGAGCCACAGGTGCTTGGCGAGAGATGAAAGACACTTTGTTCAATAGATCATCAGTTATCAATCTTTTTCTCCAAAAAGTCTAGCTATTTTTTTCATCTATCTCCATCTTCCATCTGAAAGCTAGTGCAACAGTGAAGTTTGGCTGTGTTCCTTGGAGCAGAGCAGGTAAGAACTCCGGAGTGCGTCTGGTTAGGATGCTAGCTCCCCATTTGCTAGATTTGATCTGCAAGTCATTTGACTGCTCTGACCTTTACTGCCATTATCTGTGTAACTGCGGGACTCATGGGCCTTCCCTGTCCTTAGCATTTGTTGACTAAACTATGGGCCCTTCTATTTCTCCAACCTTTTGATTTCCAATCATAGTAGCCTCATCCTTAGCCAACTGTCTTACTCTTCTCTGTCTCTGTCTCACTCTGTCTCTGTCTGTCTGACTCTCTTTGTCTCTCTTTCCACCCTGGGAAGGGGTGGTACTGGAGTTTCAACTCAAGAGTTTCATACTTGCTAGGCAGGTGCTCTACCACTTGAGACCTGCCCCAATCCTTTTTATGCTTCAAAAGTTATTGATCAAGTTCTGGGTGCCAGTGGCTCACGCCTGTAATCCTAGCTACTCAGGAGGCTGAGAACTGAGTACCACAGTTCAAAGCCAGTCCATGAGACTCTTATCTCCAATACACCACCAGAAAACCGGAAGTGGTGCTGTGGCTCAAGTGGTAGAGCACTAGCCTTGAGCTGAAGAGCTCAGGAACAGCGCCCAAGCCCAGAGTTCAAGCCCCACAACAAACAAAAAAGAAAAAAGTTATTTTCAGATAGGGTCCTGCTGCGCCTTGCTGCCTGGGGCCCATCTCAGACTGATTCTTCATCTATGCCTTCTATGTCGCTGAGATCATAGGCTTTTACAACCACACGCAGTCTATTAGTGAGGATTTCACTAACTTCTTATGCCTAGGCTGGCCTTAAATCATGATCCTCATAACTTCTGCCTCCCGAGTATGTGAGAGTGGCTACTTTCTGGGCCACGGTGTGAGGCCTAAGTGTTGAGAAAACAGATGAACCCTTCTATGATAGTTCAATTAAAAATGCTAGAGTACCTAGGAGACTTCACTGACAACCTAACTCTGGTCTCTCTTGCTGTTAGCAGCTTCTTCTATGGAAGAACAAGAAGGGAGGGGATTTCTTCTCTTCTGAAGCTGCAAGGCTACAGTTATAAGCTCGGAGCCGCCTGTGTGTATGGGGAGAGCCTGTCGGCTGCTTGAGAGTGGGGTTGTCATGTGGATGAAGCAGGCTGTGTCCGGAGAGCAAATGCGTCCATACAACACCAGCATCACAAATTATGCTCCTGACACCAGGAAACTTCAAAGCTGGCACTTTGTTGGATTTCTGTGAGGTATGGGTAGGAGAATTTTCACGAAGCAACGACAAGCACAAAGTTCAATGCAGGGCCCAAAAAAGGAAAATCATCTCCTGTCTTGCTGCTTGCAGGATTTTTCCCCCCTTGTAGTAAAGAATTGTTGCCAAGCGTGTCTATGTGTAGAGAGTTTATTCTCCCTCAGATGTGGCAAGTTCTTCCCTTCTGAAGATACGAATCTTTCTCAAGCTTAGAAAAGTCATTTTTTTCCCCCTAGAATATCTGTCACTGTTGTCTCGCTTGGCTAGAACAGCAAGTCCTGTTCTGTGCTGGTGCGTTCTTCTCTGTCCCATCTCTCACGTCTCTGCGCATTATCTCCCACCCCAGAATGTTGGAGGGCCTCAGGACTTGGCCCTGGCCGAATTCTCCTATCCACACAAGAGCAGTTAACTAAGCCTTGTGCTGCGCCCAACCTTCCTGAGCTTGATGAGGCTCAATTGAGGGAGGGATCGAAGACACTGATGGCCAGAAGCCCCGCCTCTCTCTCCAGACCACCTGATTGATGGAGAGCGTTCGGCTATTCCCAGGCCCCCATGGTCTGGTGTACGCAATGTGTCCCACACCAGTGTGTGTCCCTCTGTGTGGAGTGAAGTTCTGAGGGATCTCAGAACCCTCTGCAGCTGGGATCTCAAACCAGGGGGCCAAGGGCATCATGGGAGAGCTTGCTGGCAATGCAGACTCTCAGGCCCCATCCTGGACGCTGGATTGGGATTGGCATCTTACAGTACTCCCCTCTCCGTCCAGGACTTCATCCACACATCCAAATGTGAGAAGCCATGCTCAGAGTGCAGGCTCAGTTTTTCTTTACAGAGACCTTCCCTAAGCACCGAATAGAACTGACTTCTCCTGGTCTATCTTTAGAGTTCTAGTTTCCATTTGTGGTAGCCACCACAATTTGCAATCACATATTATCTGTGTTTAAGGGTTTAATGGCTGTTTGCCCACTCTGAATTGACAATGTGACAGGCTTTATACCCTGCTTCTACATGGTAATTAGTCCACAGTTGGTGTTCAATAGCACCCGGTAAAGAACTGAATTTCCTCGTCATTTATCTGTGTTCTGGGAAAGAATCACAAGAATGTCTCTCGTTTTTTCCTTTTCTTTTTTTGCTACTAAGACTTGAACTTAGACAGGGGCACTGTCCCTTAGTTTTCCACAAAAGGTCGATGCTCGACTGCGTGAGCCACACCTCCTCTTGCAGTTTGTTGGTGGTGAACTGGGCATAAGACTTTCATGCACGGGGCTGGGAAGGTGGCTCAGTGGTAGAGCGCTTGCCTTGCATGCCTGAGGCCCTGGGTTCGATTCCTTAGCACCACATAAGCAAAAAGAAAAAAGCCAGAAGTGGCGCTGTGGCACAAGTGGTAGAGCGCTAGCCTTGAGCTGAAGAGCTGAGGGACAGCTCCCAGGCCCAGAGTTCAGGCCCCACGACCGGACCACCCCCCCCCCAAAAAAAAAAGAAAAGAAAAGAAAAGAAAATTTCATGCACTTTCCTGCTCAGGTGAGTCAAAATGTCAATCAGTTGAATTTGCTATAGTATCCTTCCTGTTCTTTACAGACTGAAATATGGGTTTTGGCTCTGCTTTTGCCCTTGGATATTTGTTTATTTTGGGTGCTAGCACTGAACTTGAACTCAAGTTTTCATGCTCTCATTCCAATTTTTTTCTGCTCAAGACTATAGACCATTTGAGCCATGTCTCCAATTCCAGCTTTTTTATTGCTGGTTAGAGATAAGACCCTCAAAGATTTGTCTGCCCAGGCTGGTTCTGGTTCTGAAATCTCAGCCTTCTGAGTAGTTTGGGTTACAGGTGTAAGCCACCATACCTAGCTTGAAATTTTCTTTTCTTCCCACCCCCCTCTCTCCCTGCCATGAAACGTGACCTGGGTTGTGTCCCTAGCCTCTCTGTGCTCAAGGCTAGCACTTTACCACTTGAGCTACAAAGCTACTTCCAGCTTGTTCTGTGTAGGTGGTACTGAGGAATTGAACCCAGGGCTTCATGCATGCTAGGCAAGCACTCTACCCCTAAGCCACCTTCCCAGCCCTTGAAATTGTCTTACAGTCTGAGTTCTCTACCTTTTTGCTTTTGTTTTCTCATTTGTCTTTTGCTTCTCATACATAGAGGTTATGATTATCAGCCTTTTTGGATTATTTCCTTTTCAGAGTTACTCAGGTTGGAACTCAGGGCCTCATGGTGGTTAGGCAGGTACCCTGCCACTATCCCACACCTCCAGCCATTAGCAATCTTTTAAAGACATCTAATAATTTGGCTTTTCCTTTTTTTTTTCATTTGGTTGGTTTGGTTGGCGGTACTGGGGTTTGAACTCAGGGCCTCATGCTTGGTAAGCAGGTACTCTACCACTGAGCTATGCCTCCAGCCCCTAGTTTGGCTTTTTCTTCTGGCTCTGAAAGTAAATAATTTTCAGGTATATTTTCAATATTCCTGTCTTCTGAGTTGTTCCACATTGACAGGCACTTCTAGTCCCCATTTGAGCTTATAATCAGCTTTTGTGTACTGTACTTTGCCATCTCATATTATCTTCTTCCTCTCCTCTTTGGTACTGGTAGCTAGAGTTCATCAATGGAATGGTTCTCCTTATCTCTGTAATCACCTTAATGATCAGTGGGAGGACATAGCAACCAGTACCAGTGTTACCTTGCCTTCACTCACAGATTTCTAGGATTGTTCGCTCACTCTCAATGTAAAAACACAGTGGTGAGGCAATGGTGGCTCACATCTGTAATTGTAGCTATTTGGTCGTCTGAGATGAGGAAGATTACAGTCTGAGACCAGCTCAGGCAGAATAGTCCTCAAGACTCCATATCTAAGGAAAGTAGCTGGACACAGTGGTGCATGCCTTTGATCTCAGCAACTGCCAGAAGCCTCAAGTAGGTGGATTGGACTTCAGGAGTCTATGTGGGTAGGAAGTGAAATTCTATCTTAAAAATATGCCAGGCTCTAGGCTGGGAAGGTGGCTCAGTGGTAGAGTGCTTGCCTTGCATGCATGAGGCCCTGGGTTCGATTCCTCAGCACCACATAAGCAAAAAGAACAAAGCCGGAAGTGGTGCTGTGGCTCAAGTGGTAGAGCACTAGCCCTGAGCTGAAGAGCTGAGGGACAGCGCCCAGACCCAGAGTTCAGCCCCATGACCGGAGCCCATGACCGGTGAGCTCCAATGGCTCACACCTGTAATCTTACCTACTCAGGAGGCTGAGATCTGAGCATCACAGTTTAAAGCCAGCCCAGGCAGTAAAGTTCATGAGACTCATATCTCCAATTAACTACTCAAAAAAAGCTGGAAGTTGTACTGTGCCAAATGGTAGGGCACTAGCCTTTAGCACAAAGAGGATCAGGGGAAGTGCCCAGGCACTCAGTTCAAGCCCCAGGCCTAGCAAAAACAAACAAAAAAAACAAGGCCAAGGTGTGGGTGACAAAACCTGTAATGCTAGCTACTTGGGAGACTGAGATCTGGAAGATCCAGGTTCAAAGTCAATCTGAGCAGTAACTGCACAACATGCCATCTTCAAAAAACATAAACAACAAAAAGTTGAACTGGAGGCATGGTAGAACACCCTCCAAGCAAGCAAACAGAGTGGGAATTTGAGGGCCAGAGTTGAAGCCATGGTACCAGCAAAAATATTATCATGAGCAGCAGCAGCAGCAGCAGCAGCAGCAGCAGCAGCAGCAGGAGCAGCAGCAAACAGGGCTAGAGGCATGGCTCAGCAATAGAACACCAGCCTAGCAAGTGCAAAACCCCAAGTTCAAATCCAAGTACTTAAAAAAAAGGGGGGGGGGGGCCGGGTGCCAATGGCTCACGCCTGTAATCCTAGCTACTCAGGAGGCTGAGATCTGAGGATCGCAGTTCAAAGACAGCCCAGGCAGGAAAGTCTGTGAGATTATCTCCAATTAACCACCAGAAAACCAGAAGTGGCGCTATGGCTCAAGTGGTAGAGTGTTTGCCTTGAGCTGAAGAGCTGAGGGACAGCGCCCAGGCCCAGAGTTCAAGCCCCACGGCCGACAAAAAAAAAAAAAAAAAAAAAAGTCAGTGGGATGGAGAGGACAGAAATGGACAAAACTCAAGAATGAAGCTGCCCGCTTTCCAGTGTAGCTACTGGTGCTGGGAGGTGAATGTCCCATCCTTGGGCTACTAAAGGGTTAAAGAACATATTTGGTTAACAAGAACAACACATTTATTTAAAACAAACAAACAAACACAAAACTCATCCTCCAGTTCTCTTTCCTGAAACATTCTACAAGGTGAGGTATGAATCTGTTTGACTCAGCCTAACTCCGTTTACCTTCCATTACTTTCAAGGGTGCTCACAATTTTACATTATGCTGTCAATCTCTCACTATCTTAATGGGGTTTTATTCTTTTCCTATAAGGTCATGGGATATTTTAGTGAGAAGTTGTGAGACATTTCACCAGGAGACTGTAAAATCCATTTTCTCTTATCCTCCTTTAACAAAGCAGATCCACAGAATATTCATGAGTATGTTTCTTTTTCCCTGACATCTGCTCCCATAGCTCTGTCAGTGAGGAATTTATCATTCCCAAAGCATTCCATATGCTTTTCCACTCCGCATTTACCCATGAAGTTTCCCCTGGCACAATTCCTCTTCATTTTTGGCCTCTAGCAACTCAAGAACAGGATGTTTCAACCACCCCTTTGTTTTGAGCCTGAGGACACTGACTTCATTTTTGTGAGTATAAACATTTTAATCTGAATTATACCAACATGGATGAAAAAAATGTTTTGAGACAAGAGTTTTGATAGGGAGCCAGGCTAACCTTGAACTTGAGAGTCTCTGGCCTCAGCCTCTTGTCTGCTAGGATTACAGGCATGCAACACCACACCCAGCTCCAACAGGGATATTTTGTGAAAAATGAATTTCTGAGCAAACTCAAATGCACTTTTCATAATATCAATGTTCTACATAATGAAGATAAACTATTCTTAGTATTGCTTTCATGTCTTTTTTGCTTTTTAAAATTTATTTTGGGGGGCTGGGAAGGTGACTCAGTGGTAGAGTGCTTGTCTTGCATGCATAAGGCTCTGGGTTCGATTCCTCAGCACCACATAAGCAGAAAAAGCTGGAAGTGGCACTGTGGCTCAAGTGGTAGAGCGCTAACCTTGAGCTGAAGAGCTGAGGGACAGTACCCAGGCCTAGAGTTCAGGCCTAACAACCGACAAAAATAAATAAATAAATAAAAATTATTTTGGGGGTTAATCATCATTTAGTTTACTAGTGTGTCTATTGCTTTATCCAAATTATTTTCATCTTGAGAATTCTGATTCACATATTACCACAATGATTGTTGAAAATTTTTGTCCTAAGAATTTTTTTTGGCCAGTCCTGGGGAACTGACCTTGAGCTTTTTTGCTCAAATCTAGTGCTCTACCACTTGAGCCATGGTTCCATTTCTGGCTTTTTGATGATTAATTGGAGATAAGATGCTCACAGACTTGCCTGCCCAGGCTAGCTTTGAATCTCAATTATGGCATGAGCCACCAATGCCTGGCCCTAATGAATTTTTTAAAGGAGCAATCATTTCTTTTGTTCACAGTATTTTGGGTCATGGTTTCAGAGTTCAGTCCATGGTTTCTTGGTCCCCATACACTTGGACAGAACTTCAATGCAACAGGAGCCTGTGGTAAAGGAACTTCTTCACCTCATGACAAACATCAAGCAGAGAAAACAATGAGAAGGGCCCAGGATATGATACAGTCGCCCAAAACACAAGACCGGGTTATCTACTTCCTCTAACTAGGCACGCCCCCCTCCTTCCATTTCTACCCCCCACCCCACCCCACCCCCACCATCAGCTGGGAACCCAGGCTTGAGCACGACTGTGGTGTCCCAATGAATTTTTTAAATATTTTAACATCTTAGAAGGTACTGTTCCTGTCATGAGTTCTACAGTTTTGTTAAGGTTGCAAACTTTGTGGGCCTAAATTTTGTCATGATTGTCCTGATCATTTCTAGTTGATAACAAATATAGCAGACACTATCTACTTGTATCTGTTTAGCATTCACCATTCAGACCATGAGAATGCAACTGGCCCAAGAGGCAGCTATCCATTAAGAGGCCCTGAGTTTTGCGCCCCCAGTTCCAGCAAATATATAGTTACACACATTTACTACCAATTATATAGCAATGTATATGTATTATACACTAAAGAAATGTAGCGTGTTTCACAATTAGGGGCATGTAAAAATTATGGTATAACCATACTATGGAACACAAAGTAATCACTAAAAACACTAATTTCAAAGAAATATTAATGACATTCGAATCAACTTTTATGTGAAGACAGAGGATACAAAACTAACTACACTTACTTCAGCAACACTGATTCCTCGGAGCCACTTTCCATTGAGTTTATTTTCCTGTATAGGGGTCATTTGCCTGTATAGGGGTCACTTTCCTGCTCCTTCTAGTAGTTCTGGATTCTCAGTTCTCCCCGTAGATCCTTGAGACTTGCCTGCACATTCTGTAGTATCTGCTCCTTTCCCTCTCTACTGTATGCAACCACTGATGTCTCTGTCCTGTTTTTAAAATTGTTTTCATTTGTTTTTTGAGATGAGAGTCTTAGTATGTTGCCCATCTAGCCTGGCATTCCTGAGCTCATGAAATTCTCTTGCCTCAGCCTCCCAAGTGGCCAGGTTTACAAGTTATACTACTACCATACATAACTAGCTCTTCTTTATTTTGAAGCCTAGATTCCTAGACATCAGCCCCAAACTGGCATCCATAGTGATCAGCCAATGATTGGTAAAAAGTTGTGGTTAAACACCTTGAGCCTGGAGAATGCGTGCGCTTATAAGCTTGAGCAGTTCCCAAATCCATTCTAGCTTTTTGTTTTCAAGTCTTATCCAGCCAGGCAGGGACAAGTAGCTTGCTAGGACTTTCCAGTTTTCCCTTCCATTCTTCCTGCACATGAGCACAGCATCCCAGACTTCCCTGAGTAACACTGGATCTTACCAAGGCCTGCCTCTGTGGCCATCTCTCCTGTTCAGTTGCTAGTTGCTTTGTCTGAAGGTTATGATTACCTCCAATCCCTACTGAGATCTCAGGCTAGTTGTACTGTTGGACACACAGATAAAAGTCTACTTGTGGCCCTGGTAGAATTTCTGAGGTAGAGATAGGGATGAGAGAACTTGGAAAGGGAGCAGCCTCAGACTCAAACATGTGATTTCCATGCTTCTCGTTGATATTCATATTCCCTGAACAAATCTCACTTTGTTGCACACCTTTGGTCAATTTTCAAAATGTCTTTTTTTGGACAAAGCAGTTTATAATTGCTTTGTAGGGAGAGGATTGGCTAAGCTCCTTGTTCAGTCATTCTGGAAGTCCTGTTCCTTCACCCATACAAGATTTTATAAATGCACTATTTAAATGTATCTCACTCCTAGGGGGTGAAGTGGGACCTTCCTTGTGGTGTGAAATCCCCAAGGTAATGTCACCTTGACAAAAATGACTTCAACCTGGAATCTAACTGGATTTGCAGGACGAAGTCCCATTTTGTAGACCAGAGTGGATTAGTGGTCCTCTGAACTTGTTTGTTTTTAGTTATTCCTTAGCCAAGAGAGTTCAAAGACCACCCATTTTCCAGAGGGGGGAGAAAACGAGCTCTGTGTTTAACTTTGGTTTACAATAAAGTAAGCACAAGCAAAATAAGTCAACAGAACTTTTTAGAGCCTTGAATATGCCAGTTTGTTGAGATTCTGTAAGAAAATAGTATGCAGTGTTCCCCAAGGTTATTGTGACCACTGAATATTTTCCTCAGTCCCCCCTACCAACACATGGGATTAATGGAATAACATGGGATTAATGTTCTGCAAACACCTTTTGGACTGTTTTACTTGGTATTTCCAGCTTGGTTCAAAATTACTGAGAGGTTAAGGGAAGAATTTGCTGACAAAAGTGATAGCTGAACACATCAGCCTTCCATACATGGGGAGCAGCGTGTGTGGAAATGAGTAGTGAGAAGGAAGTCCATTTTGGCAATTGAACTAATAAAAAATTTTTGTTGGAATCTCAGTTCCAGGGTTGTTTTTGTTAAGGACAACTTACCACATACCAGACATTAAGTAAGATTCTTGGAAGGTAATAAGACAGTAAAGTTAAGGGTAGGATGGAGAAGACACATAATCAGGTGTCAGAGGAGATGGGCATCTAGGCATCCATGAAGGACTAATGTAAGACCAAGAGGAAAGATTAAAGACTTGACAGAGATCCTGGTGTCCTGACGTTCTTGACGGCCAAGAAAGGGTAAGCCAGGAGAGGAAAAGAGGCAGTGAGTCTTGACAGAACATGGCCTATTGAGAACCATACCAAACTTGCATTGCCTGAGTATAGGCATGAGACTGAACAGTGTTTTGGTATGTTGCTCTCTGGTCGAACACTTGTGTAACAAGCGTAAGGCCCTGGGTTCCATCTCTAGTAGAGATGTGGCCTAGTGGTAAAGTGGTTGCCTAGCATGCAAAAAGCCCTGTGTTCAATTCCTCAGCACCATATAACAGGAAAAGCCAGAAGTGTGCTGTGGTTCAAGTCTAGAAAAGAAGCTCAGGGACAGTGCCCAGGCTGAGTTCAAGCCCCAATACTGGCAAAAAAAAAAAAAAAAGAAAGAAAAAACAGAGACAGAAACAGTAACAGAAGAAAGGGGGGAGAGCATAAAGGAGGGGGAAAACGGGTACAAAGGGAACAAAAAATGATGGGCTATGTGTAGCATGTTAGGGATTTGGGATCTTACTCTGAGGGTAAAGGCAAATTATTAAAGACTGCTGACTCTCAGTATCAGATTTACCTATCAAAAGCTCTCTCTGGCAGCTGTGTAGAAAATGATCGTGTAGGCAGATCTGAAAGCAAGCTCCAGGAGTCGAGCAAGAATGAGGAGGGCCTAAACTAGGGAGGTATGACTGTAAAGGAGAGGGCAGCTAAAAATTAAAAGTGACAGAGCTGGGTGACCTCAGATGTTGAGGGTAAAAGACAGACCAGCAGCCCAAGATTCCTGATTTGAACAATGAAAGGCAATGATGGAACCATACCAAGCAACAGGATTGGGAGAAAGAAGTAATCTGTGTATTCAGCCTTTTACTTGTTCAGTTTGACATTCCAACATAACCAAATCTGAGTTCTCTGGATGGAAATAGGTAAAGAAATGTAGGCTTGACAGGTATTTGAATAAAATTATAGGTGAAGCTGTAGGTGTGGATGAGATTGGGTGGGAAGTGTATAGATGGAGAAGAAAGCAGAACCAAACACCCTAGACAACTGCTCCCTCCTCCTCACCTGAACCCCTAACAGGCCTTGTCTGTAACTTACATAGTATTGATCATATGCTGCAATCAATATTTAGCTCAGGTTCCACTGTAAACCAAGGACCAGGCTAGCTGGAATAGACAGAGTTAAGGTCCCCTCACTCAAGGAAAGCTCTATGATCTAGCCAGGGAGACTTATACTCAACTGTTATGCAAAATAAGTAAGAGTTACAATATGTTGAGTGTAGAAGAAACAAGCTAATTGAAGGAACAGAAATGGGAGAGGAGAGAAGGGGGGCATTCTAGTTGGGCTTTGTAAAAATAAATGGATTCTGATGGGCAGGGAAGGGGAAAGAAATGAAGCTGGAGATGAACCCACTGAAAGATCACAACAGAACACAGGTATTGGAAGTGAGGGGAGAAGGGCTTAGAAAGTTAGTCTGGCGCTTGGGAATCCTGCTAGGTTACTCAGGAGACGGAGATATGAGGATTACTGTTTTGAAGCCAACCAAGGCAAAAAAATCCATGAGACTCATCACCAATTAATCACCAAAAAACTGGAAGTAGCACTGTGGCTCAAAGTGGCAGATCTAGCCTTTATGAAAAAGCTCAGCGATAGTACCCAGGCCCTAAGTTCAAGTCCTATGGCCGACAAAAAAAAAAGACAGTAAATGATAATAAAGACATATATTTTAAAGATTAAAAATATTTTATTTAAACTTTTCTTCATAAACACTTTTAACATTTTTTTTCAATTTAAAAACAGAATGGATAGCATAAACATGTTTGAATAGATTATATCCACGGCTTGGGAAAAAAAATTACCTGACAAAAAATGTAAAGGCTTTCAAAACAGGTATAAAAGGCAAACATTAAATTATTCTAAGATTTGTTTTTATATTGGCCCTACGGTTATTTGAGTACTGGGCCAAAATATACCTAAAGGTCAAAATATTTTTCTATAGACAAAGTATGCCCAAGAGGTACAGGGCACATACAAGTTAGGTAGAAAATAACCTCTCCAATCACCTCTTAGGAACATTCTTTTGGAAAGAAATACCTAATTCTTACTGGTATACTGATTAAATTTTTCGATGCAGTTGTTCCCAAAGATGTAAAACAAAAAAATCCAAAAAACTGAAGAGGGAACAAAGCTAATGGCATTTTCTCAATGTTACTTGAGTAATATTGAAGTTATATTGGTATACTGAAAGGATTTCCGGGAATTCATCTATTCTTGTCTATGCCTACTGGATATTTGACTTTATAAACTCTCAATAAACTAATATTTCAGGACTTTAATTTTTAAGATAAATCTCTTTTTAGAAGATATTTATTCCCAAACCGACTCTAAATGTGATTGAATAAATGTATGATCTCTAAAAATGTTCAGAATACAAAAAAAAATCAAAAACATATAGTAGGCAAACAAGAAAACTGGCACTAGCAGTTTCACTGCCATATAGCCCTCAATTATATCTAATATACACTATTATCTATGCTGTTTTACTTTAGTCTAAAACTTTTAAATTATGTATTCTCAAAAGAGCTAGTCTCTTCTGAGAGATAGCTTATAAACTGAAATAACAATTTATATTATAAACTGAAATGTTATGACCTACACCCACATATACATATATAAAAATAGTCCACTGAACGTTTGACATGTTTAGAATATGCAGCTCAAATAATTTGTTACAAAATATTTTAAAGCTTAGTTTCATGTAATTAAGACAAAACTCTCCATTTGACCACTTTTCCCCACACAAATGTGTGTCCTTTTCTATGACTTGAGCAGGCTTCCAAAATGAGGTGTCCAAAAGTGCTGCTTTACAAAAGGTAAGTGACGGGCTCAGTCAGTATTTCACAATTGGAGTTAACACTCATACAGGGCACAGCAAATAGGACACACAACAGCTAATCCGCCTATCAATTAAGCTTGGTTTTGGAAACACCAGTAGCATTTCTTCCGATACAAGACCTTCACTGTGACAATCTTGCATTTTATAAAACGGCTGTGCAAGGATGATTTTTTTTTTAAATCAAAACTTAGAAGGTCAAAGACATGGAAGAGAACAAACGGTACTAAGAAGCAATTAATGAACATCAGCTATTTTTATGTAGTCTGGCATTTAAAATGTAAAGTGAAAGCAACAGAGAAAGATCACAACAGTTACACTGGAGTTTTCAAATCTCATACTGAGTTTTTTTAAAAAAAATACTATTTTGGGCACACACAACCAAAAAAAAAAACAATTTAAAATAAAGTACACAAAAAGCACACTTGAAAAAAAATCTAGGAAAAAAATTCCATAGTTTAGTATAACAAAAATAAATCTCTTGAAGCAATTAAAACTATACTTTTAAAAGGGAATGTAAGTTAATCATGGATTTATAAACTAAATTATGACTACACATAAACCGAAGAGTTTTTTTCATACATTCAGAACCAAAGCAAACAGCAACTATTCTTAAAGCTCAAAAGTAATTACAGCTAACATCAGGTCAGACATGACTTACGTGAAGCTGAACCTAGTTAGTTCAAGTTAATATTCCATGAATTTTATGAAACATGAACTCTGACCTTGGCCTTGTATCTTTAAAATGGAAGACCAAGAGACCAAGAACATCCAATTATTTGCTCAGATGTTACCCTAACTAGGGCTAGATTTTTATGTCTAAGCAATTAAAGAGAACCACGACTGGAGTGTAAAGCCTTTGATGCAGTAACTGTGGCTGATAGCTCTTTCCTGGACTTTTCCCACAAAAGACATCAACAAGGAAAATAATGAAGACATTATTTTCTTTAAAACAATAGAGCACACATACAAGATCCTAAGTGAACTGATATATTTGAAAAGAATTACGTGGCTAACTTTAATTCTCTGTTCAAAAGATTATTATTTTGAAAACATAAAAAAGACAAGATATTGATCCATTTTTATAAATTTTAAGTGAATGAAAGATCGCTAAATGAAAAATGTAGGCCCCACTAATATTAACTTAATTCCTGAAACCAATGCCAACTGTATAATAGCAACTTGGGCTCTTGGATTCTAGACCCAAAAAAGTTACTTCTGTAACCTGGCTGTTTCTTACACTTAAATGCCTCAGTTTTGGAGATTTGAAATCAGGTTTTGTGTCCTACTATGTCTAACTGAACTGACAAAATCTTCACATTTCCACAACTTCACGCTTCCATTTTATGTTCAGTGGTGGCAGCAGAAAAAAAAAGTAAAAGTACAACATTTATACAACAGCAGCCATATAGAAGGCATTGCAATATTGCACCAAAATTCTAAGATCTGGCAAAATTTGCCAGGGTAGATCTAGTCTGTATCAGAGAAAGACCTCTCATGAGAAAGTGGAATCAATGTAAATCATCCACTCCCAAGTCATTCTTGCTTAATTTTGTCAACTACACTTCTTCTTTTGCATTTAAAGAGTTGAAAGGTGCAGCTAATCCTAAAACATTTATAAATGCTTTTCAACAGCTATGTTGATTCATCAGGAACTTTGTGATTACTATCGACCTTCATGTCAGTAGCTTCCAGAAAATTAAACGAAAGCTGAGAGCTGACATCCCTAGTGCCACTACTTTGTACAAAATAAACAAGTAGATATAATCATTAACATTGTAATTAAGGTTCTTACCTCTAAGTCAAAACTGAGCTCAAACTTTCTGAGAGTTGCCACCTTCCATTCAATAACAAATGCAGCAGCCTGACTGGACGTAAAAGAAAAAAAAATGGGAGTTGCACTTACTTTTAAGGGGCCTTTATTTAGGAGTGTGGTATTACCTACTTCTCTTTAAAAGTGCTTGCACGCTGCAGGGTCAGAGCTTGTCATAAACCACGCCATTTCTCACTAAAACAGGGCAACAATAAACAGACTGCAAAGAGAAAACATTTTCAGAAAGAAAAGACATACATCCACAAAGAACATTAACATTTAACTTTAGAAAATAAAATGTTAGTTTTTGTAAATCAATACATTTCAGGAATATAAGGAGTCCAAATATTACTGAATCAATATGGACTTGAAGACAGGCTACTTTGATACCAAATGAGGACTCCAGTTAATTTACCTTTCTACAAAACGTTAATACATGAAAAGACATGACATACAAAAATTCGACAAGAATGGCAAACGGAGTGCAAGTACACAAGCTTAAAAATATAGAATCCTAACCACACCTTATATACTTATAGGATGGATGCGAGTATGGATACGCTTTCACTAACACAATGCAGGTAAGAGAAGGCAGCTTAGAAATAGTGTTCTGAATATAAAAGGTCATTTTGTAGAAAATTTATATTTTTGCATTTTCAGCAAAAAGCCATGCAAAAAAGTCAAGAGTTTTAAACTTTTAAATAATAAAACCAAAACATGTAACAGACTGAAATACACTGAAAGTACTGTCCAAAAAGGTTTCAGATAGGGACTGAAATCACATCCAGTACACTTATTGGGTCTTCTCTTAGAAGATTCCTACACTAACATATGAAAAAAATGTTTAAAGCAGAAAATCAACTTCCTAGATAAGTGGAGCATTCTATTAAACTGCTTCTGGAAGTAGTTTCAAGAGCTAGCGCTTAGAATTAACTTATTGCATGAGTCTGAGGCCACTGAAAACTTAAAAAAAAAATATGCTAGCACAGAATGAAAACTTCTTACATTAGACCAATGGCTTTAATAGTAAAACTGGTGAGGTGTTTTTTTTTTTTTCTTTATACGTTTTTAAGTAACTACTGTATCACAAACAAATGCTTCGTTTGACTTTTGCTTCTAGGGAGATGGACATCATTAGTTGCAACGCCTGACCTCATCCAGTACATAGTCCGGGAAATGTAGGTTGCACACTTGTAAACCGTCTAGCTTGCAGGGCATCCTAGGGTACTCATCTTCCTTCCACTTGTTTTCATCCGGATCAAAAGTAAGAATGGAATCGCTGTAATGACCGTTATAGCAAAGGCCTCCAAGAACCATTATTTGTTTATCTAGCACAGTCACGCCATGGCCACTTCTACCAATTGGCATGGATGCCAAGATGGTCCACTGATCAGTCTCTGGGTTGTATACTTCTGTGGATGGGCAGCCCTGAGATTCAAAAGAGGCCCTCAAGATCACACAGACGCCACCGAAGACATAAAGCTTGCCATTGTAAGAAATCATCTTGTGAAAGCATCTGGCGTAATTCATCTTGCTCTTGTTCTCCCAGCAATTGGTAACTACTTGAGTTCTCCTGGTTCGCTGTTCTATGGTTCCTTCTTTGCTGGGGTCAAACACACATACTTGTTTAGAAGTTGAAGATGAGGTGATTCCGCCAGTGATAAATAACTTGTTGTTTAGCACAGTCCCCTCATGTCCGTATTTGTTAACTGGATAGGGATCCACAAATTCCCACTTATCATTGGTAATGTCATATCTCTCAGTTGAATAGAAAGTCTCATCTCTGGTTCGGCCAGCTACAGCATAAATGAACTTCCCAATAACACCAACTGCAAATTCTGAACGTGGTACAGACATATCTGCCATCCGCAGCCAAGAGTTTTGTCTTGGGTCATACCTGAACACTTTGGAAGAAGCATGGAATTCACCATCAGGGCCCAGTTCTTCCCCACCTAACAGGAACACAAAGTTATTGACGATGGCGAGACAGTCTGGCCGTAGAGGTACTTGTGGGCCCTCCAGCTCCCACCAGACTCGTGGCTTCTTCAGTAGCAATATCTTACTGTTTACCATGCTATGTCCAATCATGCCCCGGAATACTGTAGTTTGAGGTTTGGCAGAACGAATGCGGCTTGATTTTATGTCCAATAGGGGCTGCTGGTGAATGTTCTGAAAGTAATTCAGTGCCTGGTCAACTTCGTAGCGCAGCTGTCGGGAGTATCGATAAAATTCTGATGTTTTAACCTAAGAATATGAGTAAAAGAATTTAATCAGAAGGAAAAAACACCAATAGCAAACAAAATATCAAACCTCAATATAATAATTAATACACTATTTTAGGACCCTTTACTAAAGCTGCTTTCCTTCATAAAATAACCTAGGTTCTATTTGCTACCAAGCTTAACTGTAACATCTCCAAGGTTTCATAAATAAGCCAAGCAATTTTTTTCAGGTACAAGTTTATTTCCAAACAGAAGAAAATATACTAATCGCCTGTTATATATGTCAGGCCCTACAATACAAGTGGGGAACAGGAGGTCAAATTCAGGGCTTCAAAGTTCAGGAAGCCATTCCTGTAGTTTTCTTAACCACTATTAATACCACAAAACCACCATGAATGAATAATTTGGGGAGTTAGTAAAAAATAAATGAGTTAGTGAAAATTTGAAATTCATGCAAAAATCCAGTAGGTTTTTAGTTTTAGTCTGATAGCAACAATTCCTACAGGAAATAATTCAGTAGACAATAGGTCAAACTTTGTTTTTTGGTGCTGGAACTATGTAATGACGATGACTATCAAGATCTTATGAAGCATGATGAAGTGTTGTGCTAAGCACTGTGGGAAAATATTAAAATAACAATAAGATATGGTCCATTTCCTCAAAGAACTTAAGTATGTATTGGAAGAAATGAAAACACAAACAGATTTATCAGAATATTGAGGCAGCTGTACAGTACATTTGAGTGTTGCAGCATTGTACGTATATATCTTATCAAACTGACCCTGAACACTTAAATATTTCAAGAAAGGAGGGGAAGTTGGAGATTAGCAGAGAAATCCCACCTCGTAATTTGAAAACCACGGATATGTACCTATAAGCTTTCTCTCCTCGTTTTCCTTCTTATGTTTATCTTTAATTAATCTTATGTTTATCTTTAATCCCTCATCTAAGTCCAAACAAGTATTTGAGATAGCAGCATGAAATATCTGGTAGCTGTATTCAATAACTAGTTTCTTTGTAACCCCAGGCACTATCTTCTAAGCCTCTGAAATTATTGTTTTGTGAAGGGTCCATGATTTTCTCCAGACTAGCAAAGGAGTAAACAACACAGAAAAGGAGAAAACCCCTTGCCCAACTATGGAAAAGAAAAAACGAACACTGTTACTGCACTACTGGATGCTTTACACGTGCCTCACATGGTAAACTATTCCTCCTGAGAACAATAAAAACCCCTGATTTTCTCATAGGAAAATGGAGGCTTAGACTATTAAGTGACTTGCTCAAGCTACCTCATAAACTAAGACTGACTGGACAACAGGACATGACAGTGCAAGCCTGTAATCTTAGCAGTCTGAGACCAAAGCAGGAGGATTGCCAGCTAGGAGACCAGCCTGAGCTGGGCGCCAGTGGCTAACACCTATAATCCTAGCTTCTAAGAAAGCTGAGATCTGAGGATCAGGGCTCAAAGCCAGCCATAGCAGGATAGCAATGAGACTCTTATCTCCAATTAACTTTCCAATGAACTACCAAAACACCCATAAGTAGAGCTATGGCTCAAGTGATAAAGGGATAGAGCAAAAGCCTTGAACACAACAAAGCTCAGAGACAGTACTCAGGCCTTGAGTTCAAAAGCCCCATGACTGGCAGAGAGGAGAGAAGAGAGAGAAGAGAGAAAAGAGAGCAGGGAGAAGGGAAAATGGGAGAGGAGATGGGAGGGAAAAGGGGAAAGAGGAGAAAGGAGGGGAGAAGAGAGAGGAGGGAAGAAGAGCAGAGGAGAGGAGGGGAAGAGAGGGAAGGGGAGAGGAGGGAAGAGGAGAGGAGTAAGAGAGAGTGAGATATCAGCCTGGACTATATACAGTAAGACTCTGTCTTAAAACAAAAACCTCATAGGTCTGGGTTTGAACCTTGAGCAAAGGTTTTACAGCAAACCCATGCCAACTCCCAGTATATTAAAATATAGCTTCCATTATTCTTTTTGGTTGTTGTTTTCTGAGACAGGGTCTTACTATGGACTCCAGATCCTCTTACCTCAAACTCCTGAGTACTGGGATTACACGTACTTTGCCACCTTACCCAGATCCATTATTCTTTATAAAAATCCGTAAATAACATACTCAATTACTAAACTACTTAACATGCCCAATGAAAGAGCCTAATGACTCCTCCTCTATAACAAAAGAAATCAATCATATGGGTCACAATGATTGAGCACCCAGCTCAGATCTGCCTAACAAAATAACAACTATGAAAGAAAAAAAAGGAGTAATTATAACCAGCTAAAAAAGGAGCAATTATAACAAGTTCAATAAAACAAATAATAAAGGAAACTATGAAAAAGATCTTAGGTTTTACCCTTTACTACTAATTTAAAAAGTTAAAGTGAGCCAGGCATTGGTGACTTATGTCTGCAATCCTAGCTATGTAGGAGACTGAGGTCTGACAATCACAGTTCAAAGCCAACCTGGCAGTGAAGTCTATGAGCCTCTTATCTTCAATTAAGCACCAAAAAGACAGAAATGGACCTGTGGCTCAAGTGCTGGAATGCTAGACTTGAGAAAAAACAGTAATATGGAAAACTAAAGGAAGAAACTGAGCTTCAATCTCTCATAAAAAAAAGAATACTAACAGGAAATCATAAAACAGAGGGGCCCATCAGCTGCACTGGATATAGTTTATAATGAACTAAGCAACTCAAAGACAGCGATGAGAGGGAAAGGGGAAACAGCTTACACTAAGCAAAAGGAAAGAAATGTAGATATCACCTGATGTGGAAGAAATAATTGTATAGTCAAAGCTCATAGAATTCAAACTTTATAGATCATGATAATGACAATTTGCCTTGTGAAGGTTAAAATGTGTTTTTGACTTTAACTAAGTACCACTATTCCACAATACTGTGAAATTTATGTAATCACCTAGTATCAGTTAAAGAAAAGTGAGAGAAGGGGTGGGTTAGGAGCGGTGGGTGACAATGTTGTCAGACACTTTGTATTCATATACTGTTTTGTAGAATGGGAACTTCTTTGTACAACCACTTAAAGATAATAAAAAATAAAAAAGAATAATATATAGCTACTAATATCATAATTAGTATGAAATGATGGTGACAATATTTTCAGTTTCCAAAGTGCAATAGTATTCTGATATTACAATTAAATTTTATATATGCTTTCTTGTGTTAGTGATTCTCTCTGGAATTTCACATACATTTTTGTATTCTTTTTCATATATCACATTTACAAAGAGAAAAAGACTTCTTATCACTTAAAAATGGGTCTCAAAGCTGGGTGCTGGGTGCTCAAGCTTATAATCATAGCTACTCAGAAGGCTGAGATCTGAGGATTGCAGTTCAGAGCCAGCTCAGGCAGGAAACTCTGTAAGGTTCTTATATCCAATTAAACACTATTAAAAAAAGCCACAAGTCAAGCTACAGCTCAAGTGGTAGAGTGCTAGCCTTGAGTACAAAATCTCAGGGACAGCACCCAGACCCTGAGTTCAAGCCCCAGGACTGTCACAAAAAAAAAAAAAAGAAAAATTAAAACTGGGTTTCAAGGGGCTAGTCAGTGGTATAGTGCTTGCCTACAGGGGGCCTTGGGTATGATCCCTAGCACCAAAAAAAAAATCTAAAGCATCAAAACTCTATTTCAAAATAATCTATTTCACTAATGAGAATCTTTTCATATTTTCTTTTCCCATTCTTCTATGAATTGTTTGATGTAGTATTGTAATTACCTTTCTTATCCTTTTCTTGTGTTTGTGTTTGTGTGTGTGCGTGCGCACACACACACCAAGTACTGGTATTGGCTTTTTATTTTTTATTTGCCCAAGGCTACCATTCTACCACTTGAGCCACCATTCCACCTCCTGCATTTTGGTAGTTAATAGGAGATAAGGATGGCATGGACTTTCCTAACCAGGCTGGCTTTGAACTGCAATTCTCAGATCTCAGTCTCCTGAGCAGCTAGGCTTACAGGTGTAAGCCACCAGTGCCTGGAATATATTTTTCTTATTGACAATTAGGAGCTAAAAGGCCATACTATAAAAATCACAAGAATGATAAACCTTGAATTAAATATTTAAGTGCCTACTGTGCACAGCCAGTGGTCTGGGAACTACACAGGTTTTCAAGTAATAGCATCTTGTCCAACATAGTAATTAAGCATCATGTGAAGCCATCCAGTTTGGTGATTAAGAATTTGATTTAGAAAATTTCAGACTTTGGCACTGACAAGCTGTGTAATCTTGGACATAGAATTCAACATTTTTTAAACTCATTTCCTCTTGTAGTATCACTTGAATACCAATTGCATCTATATCTCCTAAATGCTATCATAGGGGACAAGTGAGATAGTTCATATGCGAAGATTTAGTTTGGTGTCTATCATGTTGCAGTGTGCAAATAAACATTCACTGTTATTAGTTTTTATTACTGTGACATCTGTGAAAAATGTCACTCAGTTTAAATGCATCTGATGACATGTTCTTGGTAAGCATTAACAGTTAATCTTTTAAAAAAATGAAACCAGAGGAAGCATTACTTTGGACCTAATCCTCACTATTAAAACATAATTGGTAATGTATAAATAGAAGGAAGCCTTGGAAATAAAGCAGCCATGTTGTTTGGAGATCAAGAAAGGAAGGAGAAATATGCACATATTGGATAGGCAGATTTCAAGTTTTTTCAAAGGAAAATTAGGATCAATTCCAAGATCAGAAACTGTGTAAGGAAGCTTGAGAAGACTTGGAGGCTCTCAAAAGCATAATGCTAATTGTATAATTGCAAAATGCACCGATGAGAGGAGAAAAGGGAAAAGTGTCTTTAAAATATGATGTGCTGCAAAGAGCTTTCTGGAATTCAGATGTTTAAAACCACTTTAAGAACAGATGGTTAAAAAAAAAAAAAAACCTGCCGCATAAAACAACTATTATAAAGAGTAAAATGGAGCTCTAACACCTCAGGATAAACTGTGACTTTATAAAAAACTAAATACTCAGTAAATGTTGTTTTAGAGGTTAAAGTAA